CCTTCTTGTCTAATTTTCTTTAAAGAAAAACAGTACATTAACTAGTAAAACTGAAATAAGAACAAAAGTACCTTGTAGATATTAGCATATTCACGGTATCTTTGTACATGCTGAGGCCGTACAGCAAATCCATAAGCATCCCTGTTAACACTGACACTAATTAGTGAAAAAGAATTCAAGGAACAGTTTATGGAAACCAAAATCTTTACATGCATACGTTCCCAGGAAAAATATTAAAGTACTGCTGTGATGATATGGTTATCACTTCATATTACTTATATTTTTTTATTAGTAAGAGAAAAAATTAGGGGAAAAAATTGATAAGATAAATAAAATAAAAATAATCTTATTTGAGATAAAATTTTACTTTGTATTAATTACTTGTTAGGATAGAGTTCTAGTAGTTTCAAGAACTCTTATTTCTTCAAAACTCCATGACATATATTACACGAATAGTATTGGTTGAATTGATTTAGTATAACAATTTTTCTCTCTAACCTTTCTCCCTACGTCCCCTCTCTCTATTCCTCCACCCCCTCTCTCCTTTTTATCTTTATTTCTTCTCTTACTATATCTTCTCTCTTCTTCCCGGTTCTCATCTCTTCTACTTACTTTTCTCCCTTAACACTTATCACTTATCAGTACAACGTCAATCTGGTACTGAAGCACAAGTTCCTATGCATCACACTAATACACTCTTTGCAGTCTTTAATACCATATGTATTATCTGGCCACTCATGGCCTAAGCTGTTCGTCCACTTCAGATGGTAGTTTTCACGAGTACCTTATTCAATCAAAGGATCAACAACCACATTCTATTAACTCAATCTTTTGAGAGTCACACTAAACAATCTCACTTGTTGTATCGAATTTTCTCCAATTGGAAGATAATAATGAGATCACAAGGATATCGTGATTACTTGAAATAATTAATCTTTTGTTCTGAAAAGGTATTTATTGATGCAAACAACACCAAGCAGGTGCTAAGGTACAAATAACTTAATTACTAACTCTTAAGGACATGAAGCCTAAAAGAGAGCCACACTCATCTACACTTTGCATTATACACCAAAAGTATATAACAATAAGTACCTACACTTTAAATATAGCATAGCCTCCTTTGTCAAAAATATACACTGTCTAGCCTCACTTTCCCCCCTGGAAACATCTCTTATTCCTTTCGCAACAAATAGTTCACAGAATGTAAGAAGGACACTATTCCATATCGCTTTCATTCCTTTTCTCGTCTTTTGCCCTTGCCTACACTCCGGAGCTTGTTTCATACTATTTGTAATTACCCCTTATACACCAAATAGGTTTAGAATCAAACCCAAAATAGAACCTTCACATGATTCGCTGAAATTCTCTATATTATATATGATTAATTGATTTACTATTATAATTTCTCTTTCTATCCCTTCTCTCTTCTGTCCCTCTCCTCTCTTTTCTTCTCGTTTTCTATTTACTATTATAATTTCCTTTCTCGTTTTTGTTCTTCTCGGTTTCTCCTATTCCTCATTTTTTTTTTCCGTACCTCTCTCTCTTGTCCCTATTTGGTACTATATTACATATTAAATAGGATAAATTATCTTCATTTTTATTATGATCTACCATATCAAGAACTGAAATAAGACTGCCAAAGCTTGTTAACATTGATTGTTCAAAGAGAACAAGCCCATTAAGACCAAAAAGTGAATGAAGATTATGTTTACCACCTACTTGGTTTTATTATTTAAGTTAAATCTAAACTTGGTTTTCACTTTGTTTTAAGCACATTCGGTTAATAGGTGAAAAATTGATTTACTCACAATAGACCAAATTGATTTAATATGAACAACCAAAGTCCTATTTTTTCCCTTTTACGTGGAGGTGCTGCAGTCTAGTGGTTGTCATGTTAGTTTCTTCATTAAGAACAAGATTACTTACTTCTTCACGGTTTACCTTTTATACATGCCATTACCTTCTAGAGATTGCTAACACAAATTAGAACACCCAACATTTTCATGAACAAAGCTCAAATTTATTTTTTATCCCCATCACTTTACTACGCACTCGAGGTGTGGCCTAGCTGTCAATGAAGTAGGTGAAAACCTTGGAAACGAGGGTTCAAATTGTGGAGACAAAACATGCTAAGTCATTTCTTCTATTTGTCTAAGCCTTGATTGGCAATATTACCGGTACAGTGGGAGATAATAGGTACTTGGTGGAATAGTCGAGGAAAAAAAGTCTGATTAACTACACACCACAGCACATTTCACTCAGTCACCAAAACACACTTTGAATATACAATTAAAGAAAGATCAGAAAGAGGAACTTGATGTTCATAGAAATATTAAAATCAGAGGAAGTTCATCAGGTTATCTGGGCAGTAAATATTTTCTCTTTTTATTTTTTTTCCAATTCCTGGTGAGTTATAAATTATAATCAAGAATTCAAACAGCATCAGTCATGGATCGAGCTGAATCAAGAAAATGGATTACAGTTCAAAAATGGACTGACAAAGTGGAAGGAGAAGAGAGATTTAAAGGAGTACCTCTTGTTGTCAAAAGAGATGAGAGGTGGATTCAAAACCGCTGTTTCTGCCTTCATTGTCGGTAGAAACAATCAACCAAGAATTGTTCAAACTCCGAAAAATTCCTAGATCTTTCCCCCCAAAAAAATTCTAAATGGATTTTATTTTCTTTTTCTACGCAACAAAAAGACGAATCAAGAAAAAGGGTCTTTAATTTCTGACTTCAAGATTAGAATATCAAGACATGGTCTTCCATTACAATTAAGAGTGGTGGGTTCAGTCCGTACTCAATGCTTAAGCCCTTCAAAGGGTAGAGTGTGGGGGGTTAGAGGGGGTGGGTGGTGGGGTCAAGAAGGGGGGTGGGGATGGGCACGTCACATGGGAAATGCGAGATTACCGTCACGTTATGATGACATGTGAAAAGGTGATTGCTTAAAGCCTATTTTTAAGTGAAAGTGAATTCTACATTAGAGAAAGAAAGAAATATGTATAGAGATTTCAGAGATCTTAAAACAATTGTGTGTGGGCACAAGATGTTGGATCAGATTCAAGGTGAAATTATTTTTTCTTCTATCCCCACAACACTTCACCTACCCCCTTCCTATATTCTTCATGTTGGTTCTATTGCTCTTTCCCTTCAAATAGTACGTTTCATTCTCACATAGTTAATAACGGCAGCGATGACTTATGGGTGCTCAAGTACTCATTGCCTTTACCCGAATTTAGTATATTTACATAGAAAAAATTTAGCAAAATATTTAGATAAATATTGAGTGAGTACATAATGTTTTTCCGACGATTAGTACATATATAGTTTAAGAAGGGTGTCAACTTGACAACGAGTCAAATCATACGAGTATTTTTAAATCACATGAGTTTAACTTTTAAGGGTTTAGCATTGAATCCATTATATTTTTAAATTTATGAATTCATATCTATTATTTTTATAATTTTAATGAATTTATACCTATAAATTTTTACTCCGTGTCAAAAATTATGAGTTCGGTTCAACACTACACGCCCTTGAGTCAAACTACTTGTTCTTTTAGTTGGTTTAAAGAATATGATAGTGCATTACAATTTTTTCATCGATTATATCAATTTGTATATGACGAGAAGAATATTGTTTCTTAACATGATTTTAATCAAATAGACCAATTTATGGTAAATTTGAGATGATTTTGTGAGATTGATTCACGTTTACATTACCGAGTCAAATTTCTCAGTGTATGTTCTTATTCATTGTAAAATACATTAGATGTGTATGACATATTTAATCTTTTAGTAGAGTGCCTTGCACACGAAACGTAAAGGTGACATATAGTAGCAGCAGCCGAAGTGATAAGATTTATTTTCGAATCATAACAAGTGATTGTAATAAAATATTAAAATGCATAAATGATTAAGATAATTGTGTGTGCAAAGTTAATATTGAGTTGTAGGTATGTTTACCCTCAAAATTGAGTAACAATTAAACTTATATTGTGGTTTTAAGGATATGTGATTTAAACCAGCATCAATTGATAAACAACGAATTAAATAGATAAATTGGACAGTTAAATAAATCAAACCGATCTGCAAACAATGCCTCGACCTTAATTCAAGATAGTCTCGAGGTTAGTTAATAAGAACAACAGGGGATGGAACAAGCAGTGATGAACAGTAAGTAAGACAAAGAAAGCAGCGTATATGTATATTTTTATCAGTGAATCGCGATGCCCTACAAATGATTGGAACTCCTCTTTATATAGTAGAGGAAACCTAATTATGGTATGTCTCTAATTTTAGAAGGAAATAGTATAAACAACTAGTTAACCGCTTTTGATTTGGTCTGTTCCGAGATTCACGTCATGATCCTCGGCCAATCACGGATATCTATCCCGAGATTCACGCCGTGATCTTCGACCGGTTACTGATATCTCGCCATTCCGTTATTATTCTTCCCTCGAAGTCGGTCATACTTGGTCTCGATTATTGTTGGTCTCGGTCTCAACATACACTTCGATCTCTAGGCTTGATGTCTTATCTTCTAGCTCGGGTCTGATTTATTACGGGGCTACCCCCGATGCCATTCCCTTGTCTCGATCAAATAGCAAAATTGGGTAGGCCCAATTTTGACCGTATACAGATAGTCCCCTCGTTTCTTGGAGTGTAACGAGAAGAAACGAATTGAGCCTTCGATCTAGTACCCCGACCAATTATAACGTCAACATCGTGACGTAAGCGACAAAAGCGATTGAAGTGTCGCGTCTGCACGGTCCCCAAAGTCATTAATTAACGCCAGTTGATGGTCGACCATCGGTGCTTTCAAACCATCAAAGTGGCTATTATAAATAGACCGCCTTCATTATCTTCTCAAACTTTACCTTCAAACTTTCTTCTAATCTTCAAAAGCTCTTTTATTCTGTTCAAGTTCATCACTTTGCCGGTTTTCGTTTGCCAATCTCTTATTAAAACACAAATTCCATCTTCTTCTTCCTTAAATCTCATATAGCAATGGCAAAAATAACAAAGATCGTTCCTCAAGAAGAAAAGGCCTCCTCATCGCGGTCGGCCGGTGACAAGACACCGGTGGAGCCACGTATCGAACAGTGCATCCCCGGGCTATGTGAACTTACTTCCGACTTTAAAGTCGAAAAATCCTCTTCGGTTCTTGACCGATGCGAGCCCATATCTGGATACATTTGTTCGATATCCGAAGGCGATCTCGAGCAGGTGAAAAAAGACAGTCACTGGGAGAATAAAGAGGTGGTGATTCCTACCCCCGAAGAGGACATCACCACTCATGGAAAAGGGTTCTTAAGTGTGTATACTTACCCTTTTACACTAGGTTCCGTCGATCCTGTCATAATCGACTTTTGCTGCCAATACCGGGTGACCCTAGGCCAGATCTACCCCTCTTTTTGGCGCATTGTCATTTAGCTAAGATTCTTCTCGATCAAGATCGAGGGTATGTCTTTCACCCTCGATCATCTCATTACGCTATACAGCCCCCGTCTTTATCGGGGCGGTCTGATAAGGCTTTAGCACCGAGCCATGAAGGTGCTATTCTCGAGCATAGATGAGGACAAAGACCGAGGGTGGATGGGCCGGTTTGTCCGAGTCAGGACCTCAAACTTAATCCCCGCTGATAAGATGTCATTCCCCGAAAAATAGAACATGAAGCGTAAGTAGAACCTCACCGATAACATTTTATTACTTGTTATGTTTCCTTTACCTCTTCTCATCTATATTCTTCTTTATGGTGCAGCTTCCCCATGGTTTCCTGGTGCAGTCCCGGACCTTGTAGGTTGGGTTCGATAACTGGTTTCAACCTCTTCGTATGCTGAGCGCTCGTGGCGCGATTTGGCCAAGGGCCGATGGGAGGCCAAATATCATGGTAAGTTCCCATGTTCGTGTTTGATGCTTTATTGTGAAATACTTCTTTTTAACTTGATTTTTTCTCATACAGGTCTTGGAGATAATGTCGTCATGAGGCCGCCTCCCTTAGGGGAAGGGGAGGCCCCAAAGCTGACCAAGGACAAGAAAAGGAGAAGGGCCTTGACTCCAGATACCCCAAAGCCCAAGAAAAGCAGGGCTCGAAAGTCGAAGACTGATCCCCCCGTTCTGTCTACCGATGTAGTCCAAACGCTACGAGATAAAGACAAGGAGGGAGAAGATGCTGACTGCCCGCTGGTGGCTCGAAAAAGGGAAAGCATCGAAGCTTCGAGAACTGCTGAGCTGGTGACAATCGACAAGGTTCAGCCGCAGATCGAGGTGATCACGGGGGAAGGTCCGAGCAGGATCCCCGAGTCATCGGGTGTTGATGATGCCTCCTGCCGTGATGAGCAACCGGCGGGTGTGCCCAAAGGGTCTAGTTCTGAGGCCCTTCAAAGAGAAGAGAATGCCCCGAGCGACTTGCTCGGGGCAATTAATATCGATGATTCGCCGCCCGACCCCACGTTCTCCAAGGGGAAGTTTCGGGATGCCCTGTCCATGAGAACCCCCGAAGTGGGGATGGCCCCCGAAGGGGACGATATATTTTGTGGTTGCTTCGCGGAGGTCGATGATGTTTCCAACCTTGACGCATCACTCATTTTTTATGAGGCTCAACGGCTTCTGAACCAAGTGAGTTTTAGCCCATGCTATCATGCTTGCGTTTGTTCTTATTTCTCTAAGTCTGATTTCCTTTCTTTCTGTACAGGCTACAACGCTCCATCGAGAAGCGTCTTCCAAGTACGGAGGATAGAAACGCCCTTAAACTCCTCTATGTGCAAAAAAGAAGAAGAGATCGTGAGCATTCGAACCAAGCTGACAAAAGCTCATCGAGATCAGACCGAGCTCATTAAACGGGTAATGTAAAATTTTGGGAGCTTGTTATGTATTGACTTGAAATTGGCAACTAACACTTTGATCCTGCAGGTTCAGCAGAAGGCCGAATTGGTTGATCAGCTTCGTGAGGAGGCCAAGAAGAAAGAGGTAGAGTCTTTGGGGTGGAAGCGGAACATGGACCGTCTCGCCTCGGAGAAAGAAATGGTTCGGGCCCAACTATCTTCGGTTGAGCGTCAACTGCAAAGTGTAAAGGAGTAGAACTTGGCCCGAGCCCAGAAGGTTGAAGAGCTCGAGACTCGGTTGGCCGTTGAGCTTGCAAGTGCCACATCCGAGGCAGAGGTGCTCGTGGCCTCCTACTGAGCTTACGCCGAAGCCGCTAACACTCGGGCAAAGGAAATTTTTGATGCTGCTGAGGTTAGATTGTCCTGTGTTGCCGAGCATGCTAGGCGCCAGTCTCAAAGAGAGACTCTTGAGGAGGTACATGCTCGTGGCTTCGACCTCACGACTGATATCGAGAATGCGAAGGTTTTGGAGGATGAGTCCGGAGCTTTGCTTTCCGATGAGGAAGACCCTGTGAGTGGATCCGAGAGCGGAGATGAAGATGAAGCTCCCAAAGACGCGACTCCCGATGCGGACTAGGAGCTTAGGTTTTTTTCTCCTTTTGTTTTTTTTGTAAGACCCTGAGTGGTCTTTGTAAATACTTTGCATATATGAAAGATTTCTTTTCTTTCCGTTTCGTCTCCAATTTTTGATTTATGATAAATTCTGTTTTGCCTTTGCCTTGTGAAAACTTTGTTGCAATCGGGTTACTGTAGCCTCTATAATCGAGTGAGCAATAGCTCGAACTCAAAGTAGAATAAACCCTTAGGTTTTTTAGTTAAGCGAGGGCGAGCCCCCGAGCTTAACAATATATTCGTGATTTAACAGACCCCTTAAGATTTTTATATCAAATAATGATGAATCCTCGAGCTATATTTTATTTGAGCCCGGAATAGTGGAACCCTTAGGTCCGAATTGAGTGAGAACAAAATCTCAAACTCCAAGTGTATTGGTCTTTATGCTCTTTAGATTGGGCCAATATGGCCTCTAAAAGATGGTTATTTTTTCCCCTTTTCGGCTTAGAAGACTTAGTAAAATAAAAATTTCTTTATGCATGAACACGTATTCTTTATCCATTGGGTTTTTTGAGGGTTCGATGTTGATTGAAACCCCTTTGCTTTTTGTGCCTTAGCACGTTTGTGTTAAGATAATTTGATACCTCTTAAGGTTTTTCGA